GCCAGCGGTGCACCCCGGGGCAAATCACCCAATCTCTGAAGGATGCGGAGTCATAGCACCCAGAGCAATTTATCGATGTGAGAATTAAATGAGATATTTGTGTGTGTACATGTATATACACCCATGTGCACACATATGCACGTACATGTAAACACATGTGAATGCATGTTAGTGCTGGCATATTACAGTTTAATAAAGTTGATTCATTGTTGTTGTGATTCACTTGACCTCATAAGACCTGGCCCTTCTGGATACCTAGTCCCCTGAAGAACCCTCTTGGGACGTGCTTTCAGGGCCTTCGGAAACGTCATTCTCAGTTACCAACTGGACCAGGTCACTCCCCCGCTTTAAGCCATCAATGAATGACACCAGCAAGGGCCTCAGGACGTGCGTGCTCCCTACCGACCTAACCAGCACAGTCTGTGCCCGCCCAGGCCGCTCAAGTCTGGCCCTTCTGCCCAGAGCCTCCTGCAGCCTCTTCCCTGAGCTAATTCCTATTTGTTCTACAAATCGGTCCCAGCCTCTGTGCCCCCTGGCCTGCCACCACCTCAGTCCGGGTTGGCTGCCCTCCTCGGAGTTCCTGCAGGCCAGTGGGTGGCACCCTGTCGTGGGTCCTCACCCTGGACTGCAACGATTCTGCCCCCCGAAAGCCTGCCTTTCTCGCCCCTGCCACACGGGACAGCTGCTGAGCGTCCCCGTCCATCACTGTCATCCCTGGGTCTGCACATTTCTTGGCCCAGAGTAAAAGACGAACGGCCAACTCGAATGCCCTCAAATCTCCTCATCGCTTCAAAACAATGATCTGTTTCGAACCCACAGTGATTTCTCTGCTCGGGCACTTTCAAACTCCCTGAGTTATACTTCAAAATAACTTTTATTTTCTACAGATCTACGACACCATGAGCAAAGGGTAATCTGTCACCACTGAGTATATAAAAGTAAACACCTGATTTCAAAGCAAATCCCCCCCCACCCAGATGAAGAGAGATGGGACACCTGAAAGACGCCAGGCACATTTAAACCCTTTCCTCACAGAATTTGCATAATAGCCCGGCGAAGTCGGTCTCATCGGGCCCATTTTACTGATTACAAAACCGAAGTCCAAAAAGTTCATTAAAAAAAAAGGTGAACTTCAGTAACATGCCCAAGACCACCATGATGGAAGATGAAAATTCTTGGCGGCCCGACCCAGGCTTGCATTTGTGGAATGAGTTGCCACTTCCGCGTGTGGCTTCTTTGAAAAAAGCAACGTTCTTCGATCTGCATAAAACGTGGCATCAAAAGTGTCCAGCAGCGCATGCACGGCGGGGGGTCTGTAAGTTCATCCGCTGGATGAATGCGAAACATTGCGTGGCATTATCGTGTGTCTCTAGGAAGAGTGTGTAGACGCATCATTTCAAGTCTGTATACACAGACACATCGAAAATTTATCGAACCATAGGGGAGGGAAAAACAGACTGATTCCAATCTCTGCCAAGTCCACAGAAATGCTAACAGAATGCCATTTACTTAGTGGATTTTTAAAATTTTCCCCAAATTGTTGGATAGCCCCCTTTCTCCAAGGTAGTTATGAAGTCTGAGGGCAGATGACCCCTCATAGACCCCTCGTAGAGTCACTTACAAACATTTGCTGAACTATGACGAAGTGGTTCTGATCGCCACGCCCCACGTGACAGTCCCATTTCCTCCCTGGTCTGTCGCTGGCTCTGCTCTGGGAAGTCGGCCTCTGGCTCACCAATGACCACGTAACTCGGTGTCTCGGGGAACTTGGGCAATTGGATCATCTACTGCACAGAAGCGCAGGAACGGCCGTGGTCCTTCGTCAGCGACACCTGTGTAACAGCTCAGTCAAGTCCTTTGGGCACCTCCAGAGGAGCCCAGTTGTCCACAGAGCACGCCCAGGCCCCGAGCCTGAGTGTCCACGAGCCATGGCTGGCGCGCGACGGCGCGAGTGAGCCGGGGGCCCCAGGAAGCGCCCCGTAATCCCAGGGAGCCATCCCTGTTCTGTCCCTCTGCCACTGCGACCACCGCCGCCATTCCTGCCACGGCCACCAGCCTTCTCCTCCTTCCTTCTCACTCTACCGGGTTTGCTGTCATCCGCCTCGAAATGACACAGGCGAATAATGCAAGGAACTCAATCGTCCTGCAAGTGTTGTTGCTCTACAGAACGATCCCCACCATTTCACCCCCTCCCCCCGGCTCATCCCTTCCGTCCATTCATCGCTCTCATTTGAGTGTTTAGCCCCGATCGCTAAATGACAGGTGTAGGTGACGCCTTGACTTTCAACTTCGGGCTCCATCTGTTGGCTGCTCACGATGGAGGATGAGTATTTCGCCATCTCCCCACCCCCGCCCCCTGCTTCCTGTTTTCCCATTTCCCCAGTGGAGGATTACTGTATTTTTGGTTAGATCACCAACCAAAAATAGTGTTTAGGTGATTTCGATTAAGTATCAGGGATGTGTGCAGAGATGCTTCACGTCCTGTACACGGATCATGTCCTGCGCAACACTTTCATTCTTTGGAGTAAGAGACAGTTGTCTTTTATTTATCGTAGAGTTTTCTTTCTGAACTCATTTATTTCAACTTCAGAGTCCTCACCAACTAAATAAATCTCTCAAGGCAGCAGGCATTTCACTCTCCCTGAAGAAGTTTCTCCCAGGGTCTCCCGATCCGCTCCAATCAGAACCCGTCATGGTCTACACCTTGGGCACAACCGATGCCCTTGAACTCCCACCGCCCCGGAGACCTCCTGTGCCTCTCTCCTCTGCGGGAGGTTCAGCTTTGTGTTCTCGTTCTTCCTCCTTCCTGATGTGCACCTTCGTTTTAGTGGGGTCCGTCGCATTTTCTAATATCTTCTTGAGAAAAAGTGCGTGAGAGGTCCATTCTTTGATATCGAACTTGCGAAAACATACGCCCTCACATCTGGTTAATGAGCGCGTCTCCGCTGCCTTCTAGTGTTTAATCAATCCCAAACGATTCCGATTCGTCAGGCTGTGTGACCCGGTGTTGTTCTGTGGAAGCTGATCGGGTCTGAAGTTTGTTTCTGACGTGCGTCTGTTTCTAGTCGTTGCTCTGTATCCTTGGAAAGCCCTGGACGTTGGAAACTCGTGCACGTCGAGTCCGTGGGATTTTCTTTAATCATTTCTTTGACGAGTCCTTCTCCAATTCTCTCTCTCCTCTCTCTCTTCCTCACGTTGAAATTACTGAACTGTCCTTCGAATTTTCTTATGTTTCCTGTCACCTTTTCTATTTGTCATTTTATTCTACTGTATAAAAGATGCTCTCAAGTTTATCTTCCAGCATAACTTTTGAGTTTTTCATTTCTGCTTCCATATGGTTAATTTGTAAGAGCTCTGAGTTTGTTCTCTGACTTTTAAAAAAATATGGTATATCTTATTGTAAAATTGCAAAGCTCCTTTTTTATCTCTCTGAAATTACTGGTCATAGTTATTCTGATATTTTCCCCTTACAGAGTCTCTGTTTATTCCAAGCTTTTCTTCTTTTTCCATGTGATCGACTGGCTCTCGATGTTCATGTTAGAAGATTTCTCTGGGAGTCTGATAACCCTGGGTTGTCGCCAGCCCAGTTGGGAGCTTCTGGTGATGAGTGGGGCTTGTTGACTGTGAGCTACACTCCAGGGGGGCCATGGGGAACCTGTGATGTCACAATGCCCTTCCTCTTGGCTCACTCACATTCCCACTGAAGTCACCTGAGTTTCCTGCGTGGAGGAAGACAGCCTGGAGACCCGTCCCCCGAGCCCGGCTGGAAGGTGGGAGGGAGGCTGTGTTATTTCAGCATCTGGCCCGCGTCGGTCTAGTTACACTGGCTATCTGCAGCCCCGTATTCCAACCCGAGTGCACTTATGCCCTTCAGTCAGCCCTATTTATTTTATTCTCTTTAGGAAACAAAGCTTCAGTCTTCCGCTCGGGACAGAGGAAGGGGCGGCCCCCCAGTTCTTCAGAACAGGTAAGCAGACCTGGGGTTCTCGATACTTCTTTAAAAGCTTTCAAACGATTCACTTTGCTTTCGCCCCTTTTCACCGCCCACCCCCCTTCCCTTAGATGCTGGGTGCTGTCACCTCCTGAGCCTTTCGGGAATTCTCGAGTGTATGTCAGTTCTCGGTTCTCCCCAGTGACAACTCAGTTTCTAGGACCCTAGGTCATCTGCCACTCTGCATCGTCTTCCCAATCCCCGCAATGTGTTGCTATAGTCACCTCTTCAGTTTCCCCATCCTGTGTAACTACCATTTACAAACACGTCCTACTACCGTTTTACTGGGGTTTCAGAAGAGAGAAATGCAGAGGGGTGTGCGCTCAATTCACCCTCTTCACCCAGAAGCCCGAGTCCCGTCTCCTCACGTCTTCCCAACGCGAGTAAGTCGGAAGGTCAGCGAGGCACAGGACAAGGCCGTGGACAACAAACCCGGAGGCTCTCACGCCAGCCCCCTCCTCTGGGTCGGGGTGGGGACCCCTTAACCATACTGGCCTCCTACCGCTGCAGCCAAACTCGCTTTGCTCAGGCGGCTGGGCGCGGCGCAGCTGCATGTGGCAGGGAGAAGCCAGGGCCCCAGGAGGCGGCAGGACCCGGAGCTCGAATCCAGAGCCCAGAGCCAGCACCTGAGCATCCCCAGCGGAAGGAACACTGCACGCGGCCCAGCACTGACTGCGGGATCCCGCACGCTCGCAAGAGACAGCACGCGAGTCGCGCCAGGGACAGACCACTCCGGCCTCCCGAGGCCACGCCGGACGGGGACGTGAAGGCCCACCAGCTGCCAGCCGCGTCTCTAAGCTGTGGGGAGCCCAGAGAAGTGGGCGCACGGGCAGGGGGAGCTCCCTCCCGTGCAGGCGAAGAGGCAGCAGGCCGAGGGCGGAGACCGTACGGGCCACGAGGGCTGCGCTGCCTCTCATCAGCCCCGGGCACTGAATGCGGTGAGAAAACGCGGTTCCCCCTGCCCCCCGCAGACTGCTCCCCTCCCCGCCCCCCGCGCTGCCCGCCTCACCTGTGGATGATGTGGCGCCGCTGCAGGTAGTCCAGGGCCAGCGCCAGCTCGCACACGTAGAGCTTCACGGCCGCCTCCGAGAACTGGACGTTCTGCTGCAGGTGGTAGCGCAGGTCCCCGCCCAGCTGCAGGTCCACGACCATGAACATGTCCTCCTCGTCCTGGAAGGAGTACCTGGGGCGCGGGGGACACAGTGGTTAAGGATGGGGAGGGCCCCAGAGTCCGCTGTCCACACGGCCCGGTCCCTGGCCTCTGGCATTCTGACCACTACGAGGCTCCGAAGTATTACTTTGTTTTTAGCAGATCCCCGAATTCGACGTTTTTAGGACCTGCAGTGGCCAGTCTCCCCTCCCGCCGCCACGATTCCTCCAGTCCCCACACGTGCCGCTCCCACCCGCCGCTTCCTTCTGCAGCCCCTGACTGCGGCGACGCTGGCGCGTCCAAGGCCGGGCCGCAGAACTGCCCCTCGGAGCCCAGCCAGAGTCCGAGCGCCCGGGAATGGAAACCAGGGAAACGAAGGTGCTCTGGGCGACGGCCACAGCCGCGCAGCCGTGACAGCCACGGGGTGTCCCACTGCCGCCCCTGCTGACCTCACCGGAGCCGATGAACTGCCCAGCGGAGTCCACTCACCGCACGGAACATGGATAACGGAATCGTCGCGTTTTAAGCCAGTAAGTTTTAGGGGATTCCCCCAGCCCTCCGAACAACAGAAAACTGACACAGTCCTGAATTCACTTTTTGAAAATTGCATTTAGGCTTTTTAAGAACCGAAGGGCCAACATGTAGAATGGGGTTAAGCGGCTGCAAAGCAGAACCACGACGTCATAGATGGTGTCACCGCCCATAGAGAACCCTGGAACGTAAGACGGGTGTCATGAGATTTAATCACAGAACGACAACGCTGGCGCAGAGATCAGACCCGGGTCTCAGAGCTCCGAATATTCGACCTGGGTCAGCTGGGCCATCCTCCTCATGCATTCGATGAAAGGGGAAACTGAGGCCCAGAGGGGAGAAGGGACCCAGCGACCCAATGACAGGACGGGGACCAGAACCAGGATCTGGGGACTCTCACAGGACACACTGCTGGGATGCTGCGGTGTTTCTTGACCTGGGCTTGCAGCCCGGGGAGGGGAACCTGCCGCTCGATTCGGTCACAGGAAAGGTGACAGTGCCACATGCATACGGGATGGGGGATTCTAGGGTACGTCATTTAGGATTTTTGCATCGAATGGTCCAAATGATACTCGCTCACATTTTCCTGCGCACCCTGATCCTCTTGCCTGACTCAGTTCGGGCGTCGTGGTGATACTGGCCTCGCAGGAGGAAGTGGATTTTGTCTGTTCAAGAAGAGGTTACGAGAGGCGTCGCTTGCTTGTAGAGTCTGGTCTCACACGCCCTCCATCCCCTACTTCCAACTCACCTGGGACCCTCTCCTCACAGCGATCCTGATGGAGCTCTGAGACGGGTCTTGCTCCCCCCGCCCCGGCCCCCGACAAAGGGATGAGCAAGGAAATGACCCGACATGCGGACAGCTGTCCCTCTGGCCCTGCGCATTTCACCAGGATGCCATGGGTGCTCCCTGAGATCAGCGAGAAAAACCTGTTCCTCTAGGTTTGCCAGGCTAGAGACCAGGACTAGGAAGCTGGATCCTCTTGCCCCCAAATCGGACAAGACCCACCTGTGGAGTGAAGGTAAAGACAGGAAGCAGGGCTGAAAGCCAAACACAGAGACAGGCCCTGTTGGAGGGGTGGGTCCAGCTTGGGCAGAGTCGCAGAGGCGAAGACTGTGCTTTGACTGAAGCTCCTGTCACTTGGAACTGAAAGCATCCTCTGATACATCTTTCATGTATTTGCTAACGGAGAGAAGGGTTTAGATGCTCAAGAAATTACAGGAATCGGCTATGGTATGCCTCCTACAGATGCTCAATTTGTATTCTAACAGTCGATAGGTGATTGAAACATGGCATTGATAACCCGTGCATTCTGCACCCTCGATTCACAGCTAAATGGTCAGAGGGCATCTCATTCAATCAGAACTCTGGGGGAGCAACATGAATTTTCACGAGAGAAACTTGCAGACCGGAATGAATTCTAAAGAGGAAATTCGAAATGCAAAGAGGACAATAATTTGAGCAGCAACTCAGGGTCTGGCTTTTTCTTACTGCAGGTCCAAGTGTTGGCCCTGGGCCATGGACTCTACATTCCCAAAGGGACTCAGTGTCATCCGAGAGCAGAGGACGACCTTTCGTTTCTCTCTCTGAAGTTCTGCGCTATTCCACAGCTTTGTGCCATTGTCTCTTCTGCTTCCTTTCGGACCGGAATTACAATTATGTTCTCATGCTACACATTGTCATGGAAATGACGAGAGTGAGTCCCAAATGAGAAACCTATGCCCCATCGCAGGAACACTGACCTGTGGAGAAGTCTGGGTAATGAGGCTCACTTTGCAAGATCGAAGGTGGCCAGGAGCTGGGAAGGCGTCCGCCTTGACCTGGACATTGAAAAACGCCAGCCTGAAGAACTCAATGTCTGTCTGATAAATTTTAAGAAATTTACCAATTCCCTACTTTGTTCCAAAAAAGGATTAAAAATGACTTGTGAAATACATACAATATGACAAAATTAAGAATAAGTCAGCCATAGATCAGGTTAAAGAATAAAGAAAGAAATCAAGCAAATAGACGGTACAAAGATAGCCCGATTCACGCCCAGAGGTCTGGCACCCTTTCCCGAAACAGGCCATAAATCCGTCTCACCTTCCCAGTAATCAGAGCAGAGCAAGAAGCATGATCAGCCTCATGACTTAGGGTCAAAGTGGAAAAAAACCAATTGTTTAGGAAAAAACGATTATTCCTGATTATTAAGCCAAAGGGAATCCATCTCTCCCCCTGGGTTCTTATGGAGATGGCCATTTACATGGGGGACTCTGACCTATGTGACATGGCTCTAAAGAGAGGAGCAAGTTCAACAGGGATGGTTCTCTGTACGACGTTCCTCGAGGTGGACCGAGTTCGAAGTTCAATTCTGTGAAAGCGGGGCCTCATGGGGCCAAAGCAAAGCGGTCTGGGCATCGTGCTCACGAAGGAGCTTCTTAACGACAGGGCAACTTTAGAGAACACAGCAGGTGTCCTTGGGGGTCCTCACCAGTGTGACTCAGGCACACACCAGCGGCCACGCCGTGGGCCTCGACCACGCTCAGACCCTGAGCCAGAAGCTGGATTAGGTGGGATCACTGCCTAGTTCGCCTGAGTGTGGGATCACCATAAGGGGCTGGAGTTGATGCCACGTGCCATGACACAGACATGACCCATTGCTGCAGATACGTTTTCCGCCCCGGGCCATGGACCCCACATCCCCAAGGAGACTCGATGTCATCACGCTCTCACTGCTAGCTCCGCTCACGATGCCCCGTTCCCAGCGCTCTGCTCTGGCCCCTCGGTCCCTCCTCGGTTTAGGGCAGTGATTCTCCACCTGGGGTGACTTTGCTGCTTGGAGACATTTGACACTATCTGAAGACACTTTGGGGTGTCACAACTGGGAGGGGTGCTACTGGCACCTAGTGGGTAGAAGCCAGGGAGCCAGGATGCGAAACATCCCACAATGCACAGGACAGGCCCCCCCACAAAGGACTGCCTGGCCCCAGAGTCCGTGGGGCCACGGACTGATGCTCCCTCTGTTAGAAACCTCCCCGAACCTCGGAGCAATGCCTTCTCCCCTTCTTGTGCCTCATAATAGAAATAGCTGGCATTGACGTGGTGCCCGCCACGCGCCTGGCACTGCGCACCGAGCTCTGTGCATATTAACTCGTTTCTTTCTCCCAACAACGCCGAGGGAGGTGGTTCGTGCTGCCTTTAGCAGAGCTGGACACCGGGACTGAGGTTAAGGACTCAGTCTCCCAGGTGACACGGCCAGGAAAGGGCGGAGCTGGGAGCGGAACCGAGACAGTCCCTCCCTCTCCAGCATCTAGAATTCGAGTGTGAGGCTCTGGCGGCGCGGTCATCCCGTCTCGGGGGCCCCCTCACTCCTGGTCTCTTCTCCCCACCAGCCAGTGAACGCCGCGTGTTTCTGGCTTGTTCGGCATCGTCCCCCTGCGCTTTGCCAGAAGCATCGTTCACACTGAGGAATGAATGGGTCACGACCACCCGAAGCACATGTATCCCCGCGACACGTGAGTCCGCCGATCGCGCCCACCGCAGCAGGCTTGGGGGAGGGGAGGTCAGCGGGGAGGGAAAGCTCCGTGTCGGCTTTTGTTCTGTCATTGCTTACAGGAGCCCCCTTTATCTTTGGCCTCTGGGCACAAAGACCAGGATCTCCCACTAGCCTGAGAATGACGCCCCTGGCCTGTCCACAGCACCCCATTCCCGCCAGGGAGTGGAAGTCAGCTGTCTGATGAGCAAGTGGGAAGGAGTTGCGATGGGCTCAGCGCGGCCCTTCTGAGGTCCTTCCCTGCTGCGGACCCGTTTGCAGACGGTGGCACCCTGCTCTGTCATCTCGCTCGACTGGTTCCAAACTCAGGTACACAAGAGGGGTGCTCCTCAGACCCCCAGTCACCCCTCAACACTTATCCTGGGTAAGCGTGGGAGGCGGGCATCATCACTCTCACTTCTCCAGTGGAGGAGACCGAGGCCAAGGGAGGCTGACTTGCCCACGGTCACGAGGTCAGGCGCCTTCTGCAGCAGCATGTCGCGTCCTCTGCCACCCGCCTCGGGAGGCCTGCAGCTCAGGTCGGCCGCATCAAGCGTGCATGAAAACACACAGGAGCACACGTGAGAGACGGGGCGGGAAAGTGGGAGGAAAACCGAGCGACAACACCGCGCCCGGCTCCCCGCCGACTTCATCTCGCCCGGCCCCAGACACCTTCAGACCAAGACAGAAAAAAATGAAAATGTTCATGGATCAAAACACTAAATGTTCAGAGGGCAATACTCCCCTAGTTCATCTATGGATTCAATGCGATACCTATCAAAATGCCAGCTGCAATTTGTGCAGAAACTGCAAGCCGATACTAAAATTCATATGGAAATGCAAGAGATCCAAAATAACCAAAACAATCTAGACAGAAGTAAAAGTAAAGGGACACACCCTTCCATTGTCAAAAGTGAGCTGCAATAACCCAGCCGCACAAGGACAGACATACAGATCCATGGAACAGAACTGAGACCACGGAAATAAACC